ACGGGACGGGATTCTTCTTTCCGTTGAACATCTCATCGGCCCCGCTTGGTCCTCTTCTCCTCCGACGACTTGAACACATTACACAGGTTCTAATTCTTCATGCCCTATTCAAGATCATGATTATTTTCCCTTCTCAAATGAATTTGGATTTTATCAATGAATTAACATAAAAAAAAAAAAATGTGCAACTATGTACGAAAGGGTTTCTCACATTTGGTTTTGATTCTTAAAATTTTCAGCGCCGCACTAACAATCTTGAGCTGATTCGTCTATTTTTTTGGTATGAAGGGCATGATTGATTTAAGTGTCGATTCATCTTTTCTGCCATTGGTTTTATATTATTGTCAGGCTACTTCACTCTAGTTATCTTGCAAAAATTGGAATGAAATTTTGTTAGTAGCTAGGCGTTTTGCTCTTGTTTCATAGCAGATACTGATAGTTTCTTGTAAGTATTCGAAGCTCTTGCAGGGTTTCAAGTTCTAACTAGCAAAGGGGAATCATTTCAATGGAAGTTTCGGGTTCTCAAATTCGAGTGCAGTCATTGGTCGAGGATGGTAGAAAACCAGTTGTGCCACCTCAATACGTGCAGCCAGTCGAAACTAGGCCACGGCATACCCCCGAAGCAAATAAAAATTACATAGAGGCCCCACCAGTTATCGACATTTGCAGTTTGGACTCTGTTCGTGAATTGGGGAAGGCGTGCAAACAGTGGGGGGCATTCCATGTGGTGAACCATGGGATCCCAGCCGAGCTGTTAGACGAGATGAGGAGATTGGGCCGCTTGTTTTTTGAGGACTGCACTATGGACCAAAAGCTTCGTTTTGCTTGCAACCCCAATTCACCTGCTTCGGAAGGGTATGGTAGTCGCATGCTGGTTGAGTCGAATGACACTGTTTTGGATTGGAGGGATTATTTTGATCACCACTCGTTACCCTTTTCACGCAGGGACCCGTCAAAGTGGCCGTCTTTTTCTTCCAATTACAGGTGAATGGAGTTTCTTTGTCATGGAAAACAAAAACTCTTTTTATTTTATTTTATTTTATTTTATTTATGCTGTTTGCTTGATGAAGGATTCTGATATGGTGAATTGGTGAATGATCAATTGTCTTCCCCCTAGTTGTTTGCTTCAATTTTGTCCAGTTTAATCTTGTTTGCAAGTATTAATTTTATGATATAATCTCCTATTACTTAAGATTCACTTTGAACATTGTTATTTCAAACAATCTAGCTACTTGAAATTGTATCTTATGATATAATCTCCTAATACTTAAGATTCACCTTAGTTACATTTTTATTGTTTTTTCGAATTTTTGTTTATAGAGAAGTTGTAGCTGAGTATAGTGACCGAATGAGTGTGCTCGCTGATAAATTACTACGTATGACATCCGAGAGCTTAGGACTTCCTTCTTCGTGCATCAAAGAAGCTGTTGGTGAATTTTATCAAAACATCACGGTTAGTTACTACCCGCCTTGCCCGCAGCCTGAGCTCACTCTTGGCTTGCAGTCTCATTCAGATTTTGGTGCAATTACACTTCTTATTCAAGATGATGTTGGGGGCCTTCAAGTCTCCAAGGATGGAGAGTGGATTACTGTGAATCCGTTAAGTGATGCTATCTTTGTGATTTTAGCCGACCAAACTGAGGTATTATTCCCTTTCCTTTATCTTTTTAAGATGGGCTGTGCAGAGTTTTTTGTGTATGTTTCATGCCCTTTTTTAGCTCTAAATCGTTAAGTTTATGTACCATTAACTTTGTACAAGCCTTTGAACTCTTACGTATTAACCAGCTGCTACAAGATGTGGAGAAGTATAACTTAGATGTAAGGACTTCAATTTCTCTTTCCATAGGATATTATTCTCACTCAAGATGTGTGTTTTAACCCTTTTGTTAAAAACCAAGCATCTAAAGCGTACATTTTGAGGAAAAACCAAGCATCTAAAGCCCTTTTGAAGACGTTTTTGACCCTTTTGAAGGCTGAAACTTAAGGTGCAAATGGATTTAACTAGCAAAATATTCTACTTTTTTTCAGATCATAACAAATGGGCAGTACAAGAGCGCTATACACCGGGCTATAACCAATGCCAAGAAAGCTCGGCTCTCTGTGGCCACATTTCACGACCCTGCGAAAACAAAAACAATCAGTCCAGCTTTGGAGCCGCCTATATACCGGCCCGTGATCTACGGGGACTATGTTTCGTCATGGTACTCAAAAGGGCCTGAAGGAAAACGAAACATTGATAGTCTTCTGCTTTAACTTTTACGTTCCTTCTCACCTCTCTCTCTCTCTCTCTCTCTCTCTGAGCTGGGAAATCACACAGTGAATCAAGAAGCATAATAAACTCTTAAGTGTAGGGTTGTGTGCTTTTCCTTATAATTTCATGTTTATATCAATCATCATCAAGTCAGAGAATGGCCTGGCCTTCATGTGCAAAACAAATATAATGCTGTTTGCTGTTGTCCTGCAGTTGTTAAATTGAACATGTGCAAAACAAATATAATGCTGTTTGCTGTTGTCCTGCAGTTGTTAAATTGAACGTTTTTTTATTTATCCTCTCAAAAGAAGGTAAAGTATAAATTTTTTATTTATTTTTTATTTTTTGACAAAATTATAATGAATAAAGGGAGAAAGAGAAAAAAAATGGTGTCAGTTTGATACCCTTCCTCGTTGTGAATGGTCCCCTTTACAGGTCCCATATTTGTCTGCACACTTTACCTTTCCTATTACTCTTTCATTTTCATAAGCAAATTTGTATAACCGGGCCGGGCCCATTGGATGATCAACACATAGAGTCAAATTTGCCCATTTTCATATTTGTCATTATATTCATACTTTTTTATTTTTTATTTTTTTTTTGTGTTTCTTTTGACACTAAAATTTAATTTATGGAGTTGTCACTTTTTGTTTGTTTTTTAAAATTAAAATATGTGACGCTGCTTTCTTTTCTTCCTTTATTTGGATTGGTTTTTAGGTCAGTAATTGATGGTGCACCACTCATGCCTGTTGTTTCTTGTGCTGTGATCTGTGTATAATTATTATTAATATGGAACAATAGCACTATCTGTGTTTTTTGATTGCCATAATGAAGTGATAATATAGGGAGATGTTACGGTCTCGTTACGGAATCATTCCGTCGGGGTTTGTAAACGTTAGATCAACCATCTCTCACGGTTATATGATGATATAACGGTTACAAATCTCGACAGAATGGTTCTGTAACGAGGCTGTAGCATTTCACGATATTATAAGTACTTACTGTAATTTGGACATTTTATATTATTCTATGAAATTAAAACTAAGAATTTTTAGAATCACCTCCATGCTGCTTTCTATTAACTATTAAACAAAATATCTAATATTACAATATGTTAAATAGCATTGCGTGTAAACAAGCCGAGTCGAGTTTGCAGCTTTGTATAACATGACTAATTAGCAAACTAACTAAGTTAGTTAACTATTTTCAATAATAAATAAATGTTATGGGTGTTCTTTGCAAAATCACAAAGATAATCACAAAGATACAAAGAAACAAACATTAGGCTATGCTATACTTGTGGAAATATGAGTGATAATAGGAAAAGTGAAAATTGAAATTAGTCAAAAAGAGAGCGAGGCCATGCGGGCTTATATATATAAAGTTCCCATCTTCAATTTTCACTTTTCTCATCTGAAATTGGAACCCTTTGGCCCATCTTTTTTATAAATAAATTGGATAATTTGATTACTAATAACATAGTAAAAAAAAAAACAACTAATTTGCACTTATCTAATTTTTTTGCTTTGTTATTTTTTAATTTTGAAAAAAAGATGCAGAAATATGTAACATAATTAATCTGAAAATATAGTATTTCTTTTAATTATTATAAACAAAAACGCCTAATTTTAATTGAAGCTTCATTACCAATGGCCAACTTCTCTGGAGCATTACAATTTTAACATTAATTTGTGATAACTCAACATTGAAAAACACATGTCATTTATTATTTTATTTTTTTAAAAAAGAATTTAACCACCAACAATCAGTTACATGTTAATTAAATTAACCTCAAAGTGAAGATGTGAGGAGACGCACACATCAATTAATATTAATATGGTTACAATATAAAAAAGATTATTATTTTGGATATATAAATGTGTCAACGAATATTCCCCAACAATTTTCAGGTTTAACTTCTTCTACCTTTTTTTTTTTTTTTAAAAA